GGATGGTTGATGTATCCAAGGATAAAATCTTATATATATAAGTTATCCAATAGTTTAGGATACTCATAGTAATTTTTTTTGTACACTGGCAGCCTTTTAGACTCATATAGCAATTATTATATAATCCTGAATTGCATATGACTTATTTATTTATTTTTTTTTTTAGATTTGTCATGAATATAATTTAAATCTGTAATTAATTTCGTAAGTTATGCTTCAATCTTTAAGTTAATTCCACCAAATAAAAATTTGATGTAATATCAACTTATATTTTAATAGCATCTCTATTTTCCATAAAAAAAATACATTGGAAAACGTTATACGTGTAGCATTACCATACTTTGATAAATGATGGGTCATCAAAATTTTATGATACCATGGAAGTAATATCTGCGAATTCCCATAGATTTATCAGGTTGCCGATTTTTATGGGTCAAAAATGTGGGCTAATCAATTTTTGACTCAATTTGGCAACCAATTGTTGGGCACCCTGGATCTTTGTACTTTGGAGGTGTTTTTTGCTCAATGACCGCATTTACCTATTTTGTCAAAAATGCAGTTTTCTTGACATGGTGTTTCTTTTTCATGGTGCATAGATCCTTAATTATCTTCGCATAAGTTGATACTTGTTTAATCACATGCAGCAAAGGTAGATTAATCTTAACTTGTTTCAAATGTTTTAAAATCTCACCTTAATTGTCTGAAATCTTATCAGTTTTAAGAGCTTGAGGAAAAGAAACTCGAATTGGGACCTTCTTCTCAAGTTCTTTTAATGGGTCATCTTTATGGCTACTCAGTGTAATCTCCTTTAGTTGAGGTAATCTTTGCAATGGCTTTATAACCTTACCAATACAAGTAGTGATACCAATACAAGTAGTGATACCAATACGAGTAGTGATAGCGTTGACCCCTTTTATGTTTTTCGAATTGGAGGGAGATTCTTGCACCATATGTAAATTTTTAGGATTAGCTTGAGGTTGAGATGGGATCTGACCTCTCTCTTGGATAGTAAAAGCATTGGTCAACTTAGTTGACTCTTAATATCCTTATTTTCTTCAATCACCTGCGTAAGAATAGAATCAAACCTTTGGTTAGTTTTAGTTTATGTCTCCATAAATGCCTTAAGTGTTTCCTCTAAAGGATTCATATCCGGTTGTGCATTGTATTGAGGTGTAGGATAAGACTTAACTGGTTGAGCTTCACTATTCCAATTATTGTTGGCTGATGTGGGATGATTTCGATTAGTCTTCCAACTAAAATTGGGGTGGTTCTTCCAACTAGGATTGTATGTCTCTGAATAGGGTGAAAAATGTTCCCTAACCATTCATAATGCATTGCATTGTTCTTCATATGCCCCTCTCATCTCACCATATAGGTTGGGCAATTATAAGCTAAATGATCCAATCCCCCACAAACAAAATATAGGGCCTAAGTTCCTACCCTAGCAACTATGTGGGTGACTATTATTTTTTCATCTTTAAGATCTCAAGTTCCCTAGTTGCAACTTCCAATTGGGCTTTAAGGTTATCTTCCTCTCTAAGGTGGTAAGTTCTAAATGATCGTGACCTACTAGTACTATTAGTGGCACTAAGTCTTGTCCAAGTGTGAGCTTTCTCTGCTAACTCATTTAAATAATCTATGGCTTCCTTTGGGCCCTTATGCAAAAATTCCCCATTACACATCATCTCTATGAATTGATGCTTTCTACTAGTTAAACCCTCATAGAAATAACTAACCAACCTCCAAGTTTCATACCCATGATGTGGACACAAGTTTTGCAATTCATTAAACCTCTCCCATGCTTGGTACAAGGTTTCACTATCCTTTTGAGAAAATGTTGAGATCTATCTTTTAAAATTATTAGTCTTGTGATGTGGGAAGTACTTGTCAAAAAAAACTTGGGTCATCTTTGCCCATGTACCTATAGATCTTGGTCTCAAAAAATATAACCAAATTTTAGCTTTGTCTTTCAAGGAGAAGGGAAAGAATTTCAACCTAATTGTGTTTATATTGTCAGCTCAACTATGAAAAATACCTTAAACTCCCTAACATGCCATATGGATTTTCATTTTTAAAACCATGGAAATTAGGCAAAAGCTGAATCATTCCAGCTTTGAACTCAAAGTGTCGTGTATCACGAGGAAACATTATACATGATGGTATAACTGTTCTAATGGGGTGCAAGTAGTCTTTCAAAGTACTAATAGGTTAATCCCTATCTTGACTCATGGTTTCAGAATTAAAGGATGAATTAGACTCGACTTTTTCTTTTTCAAAGGGTGGTGGATCTAATTTAATAAATCTCTCTTTTTCATCTCTCAATCTATTCATACATTCTTTTTTTTCTTTTTTTTTTGAATGAAGAAAACAAGAAAGTAAAATAAACTAAAGAAAAAAAGACAAATAAAAGAAATCAAAGAAAAGTGAATAATGTTCAAATTCTAATTGTCAATTTGGCTTCCCTAGCAAGGATGCCAAATTTTAATGTCTCGCCTCAAAATTAATACATTTCGATTAAACGGTTGTTGTAGTATAACTTTAAGTGTTGAATTCATAGAGAAGTTATATTAGATCAACAAAAAGAGTTGTCATAAAGGAAAATTAAATTAAAAGATGATTTTTAAAATTAAAAATAAAAGTATTTAAATAAAAGATAATAATTATAGAGGATTGAAAACAATATTATGATGAATAAGATTTCAGCGTTCACTTAATTGATTTATTCAATTGTTATAAATTTTAATTTCTATTTATTACTCAATTACATGTTTTACATCCTAAACAAATAATTAAAAGATTTAACTTTGAAAACTAATAATAATAATAACTAATGTGTTTATTTTGAAATAAATTAATTTCAATGAAGAACAAATTAATTTATCCTTACAAGCTATAAAGAGCTGCAACATATTTAATTGACAATATTGCAGTAAAAGATCAACCCATAAAACAAATCTGCCAATCAATTATATTCTAACAAATTGCACATAAAAAGAGCATGATTAATTTTATATGAAATTTAATGAATATAATTTAGGGTTTTTAAATTTGAAAAATAATTAATAATCTCTAAAAAAATAAAATTAAACAATAAAATCTATGAAAAAATAAAAAAATAATAATAAATCAAACTTTTCAATCAAAATCCTTTATAACTTTGTTGAAAATTTAGTTACATTTTGATATAATATTTTAGACTTGGAAAAAAAAAAAAGAAAATAGAAGCCTAGGAAGAGACTCTCCACACCCCCCACCCCCACACCCCCCATCCCAATTCTAAACCTAGATGGATATTTATAGGGTTTTAGAAATCTTAATTATTATGGCTGTGGGATTCACATCAAAATTTTAAAAAAATCGCGTAAGGAGTCGACACGTTCAGCAAAGTGCCGGCACCTTGAGTGAAGCGCTATCCCCGCCAGGTTTTTGGCCTTTTGTGCAATTTTGGTTAACGGCCGGCAGAATAACAGTCCTGGTCCTTAATTCCTGGATTCTGCGGAAGCTGATTATCATATTTCTGATCTCTGCAATTTGCTCCTTAATAAAAAATGGAGAAAATCTCACTTGAGCCTTCAAACTTCTAAATTTGATCCTTGGACCCTCATCTTTCTGGCTCTTTTCATTTGAGTCCTTTTTTTTCTAATTCTCTTTATTTAATTATCAAACCTTCAATCACAAAAAATTTACACAGCATGAATATAATGAATAATTATGAAATTACTCTTAAAAAATACAACTTTTAAACCTATAATTTCACAAATGTTAATAGTTAAGCATACTTTAAATATATATTTACATACTTTCATCACTAACCAATTTCTTTTATCCAGAGTTATCAATCAGTAATAAAATTTAAAAAATAAGATCAAGAAAACGAAATTAGGAATAAGGATAAATGCCACATTATCAAATGCCACGTGGATCTGATGTGGCATCTAACATGGCCTTATACAAGACATTGCTAGGTGCAACCAGGACTGTGACCTGGGTAAAGAGCAACAGAACTGGCCATGCCCTGTATGCAACCAGGACATGCCTTATGCTTGCTGTACTAATGAAAGGTGCTTGCTTTGCCTGCCCAAGACCAGAGGTCATGTGCAAAGCGACCTCTTGAGATCTCTCACCTACCCTTCACCTACAGCACCAATTCATAGCACACCGCCAAAATCTACACCATGCAATAATTTCTCTTTTTCATGTGTTGTAAAGTGACTCAATTGATGTTAGGGAGCAAATAGCTCTTGGTTTTATACTTTTATTTTATTTTATTTTTGTTGTACAATAAAATATATTTTTTTATCTTATTCTATTAGTAAG